AAACAGACAACAGATGTTCCATTAGAGCTAGCTGAGCATACATACGCTCATGTCACCTCTCTGGCTGAAGGGGGTGGGTGTATGGTGTGTGTGTGTGTTGGGGGAATATTGCTTAAAGCGTCGTAAAACCGAACTGACTCACTCTCTGGCTGAGGAACTATTTTATTCTGCGATACAGCTGCTTGTTGTATGGCTGTCAGTGTTAACGTGATGTCACACAGATCTACCCATCTGGACATTATATAAAATTGCGTATAGATGTAGCCCTTCATCATTAAAGGTGCAAAATAGTGATTTAAAACTTATAAGAATAGACTTTCACTTTCTGTGAGTTCATTGGAGTATGAACCACTTACTAATTTGTCAATAGTGTAACTTTGTAAACTTTGTATGCAAACTGTACCTGAGACATATCTCAGCAGTTGTGCCTCTAACAAACATGAAATCCAAATCATTACGAAATCAATATTGCACAACGTTGACTGACACAGTGGACAGATGTTTTCCGCACACAAAGCCGTCCAATGTAATCTTATCAATCGGTTGATTGTAGTATTTTGGTTTGGTTTGTTGTTTAACGCCGCACTCAGCAATATTCCAGCTATATGACGGCGGTCTGTAAATAATCGAGTCTGGAACAGACAATCCAGTGATTGATATCATGAGCATCGACCCACGCAATTGGGATCGATGACACGCATCAACCAAGTCAGCGAGCCTGACCACCCGATCCCGTTAGTCGCCTTTTACGACAAGCATAGTCACCTTATACGGCCTATTCTACCCCGGAATCTTCACGGGTCTTGAATGTAGTATCCTTTGTCAGTGGGCCGATGAGATAGCATGACGATTTAATGTTTGCTCGTCACGCCATCGATTCAAGTTCAATTTCCCACATAGGTACATTGTGTCATGTTGTGGTTACAGTAACTTGAAGTAACAAAGCAACAAATAGGCTATGCGACATAGGTGCTAATTTCAGTTTTATGTTCATGCATGCATATGCATAATAGATTAATGTAGATTTATTTTGTATGTCTTTTCCTTTTCTTCGCAGATATTTTATGATAGTGCGTAACATTTAACATCACGCCGACACAATTTGCATTAATTAACATTGGGGACTCGGGGCCTTTTTTTCTCCTGCATCCCCAATTTGACGTTTACCATAAAATAATAACACAGGCTCATATTAATGGTACCATACATGCAGTTTGTTTGTTTTGTTTGTTTGTTGTTTAACGCCGCACTCAGCAATATTCCAGCTATATGACGGCGGTCTGTAAATAGCATACAGATACAAATGTCAAATACATTATTTTATTTTCAAGTCAGATTTTTTGGTGTTAAGGTCAATTTATTTTTGAATCACATAGAGCTACTGGGTTAAATTAGTGTACCACTGTCAGTGAACTCATCGCCTGGTCCTCTTGTTTACTGCTGTGCGACTTCAGGCAACACACTTACTTATTTATACATATGGCATGATCAATACATAATAATCATCAACCTTGAACATACATTGTTAGATTTAACACAGCACTAATAAAGTAAACGTACTGCCAGAACTCCTCTGCTGAAGTATGTCCAAATGCACTTGAAAATGTATGAGATACGTTTGAGTCCAGCATGACCGTTGTGTTGAGATTTGGCATAGCAACATCTACCGAACTATTGTTGGCACTTCTCGACCCCCAGCAGACACACACAGTGGTGTGTTCCATGAGTTACCACAAGTTGTCCATGGGAGTGAGTGAGTAAGTTGGGTTTAACGCTGCTTTTTAACAGTGTTCCAGTCATATCACGGCGTGTCAGCTTAATGTGGGAGGAAAGCAGGTCTTAGACGTTTACCACTTCGGTGTAACCCACGAGCACTGGTATGGTGGTGAAAAACCTAGAAACATAATCGGGGCGAACCGGGATTCGAACCCACAATCGTAGGTTTCGGGCGCGCCCAAGGGACGCAACTCTGCACAGCAAATCGCGGCGCCTTAGACGACTGGGCCACCAGTGCCCACTTTGTCCATGGCAGGACGGCAGAGAAGGAGCTGTAAGGGCAGTAGAGGGCCCAGGCAAATACCATGCAGTATTACGGAACGGTAACACAGCTGACTATCAGTATACCGTAACCATACCTTGAAAACCAAACGCCAAAATGAATCTTTGGATTTATGTTTATGAACTCTAAAAGTTCAAAATGAATTGACGGCAACTAGGTTGAAAATATATTGACCAACATCTCTTGTTCCTTCTTTCTTGCTGTCTACATCAGACATTTGCAACCAGATTCCAATTCGGAGGACACAGAGTTTAATACATTCAAGTAGTGGTTGTCGTTCATTATCATTTGCATTCGTGTTTCTTTGTGACTTCATTAGAACACTGGGTTTTGTCAATAATATAGGAGTTAAGACTTACCTATGACGTTGTTACGACGTTATTACGACCCACGATTCACCTTATTACGACACCATGGGACTCATCATATCGAGCACATGTACATGTAGATACTTGTTTGAGTTAGTGAGAGAGTTGGTTTCGATGCTGAATTTAGCAATATTCAAGGAAAAATACAGAAGATCACACCAGAATTGGGCTTTACCTATTATATTCATTCGGGGAATCGAACTCGAACCTTCGGCGTCCAGCATGTCATGCTCATCCATCACCTATACTTGTAAAATGTTGAGATGAAAAGCAATTGTTGTTGTCAATGTGTCTCATATTTTATAGACAGATTAGTAGTGTGAGGTTTACATGTAAGTGGCCATAATACGATAGTAATGTCCCAATTGACACTTGTATACATCACAAAGTTTTCGATTGCGACGAACATTTCTTATTCTTTATACACAACATAACCTTTTGGTGACGCATTAGCAGAGTAATATTACACTGTCATGCAAGAAGACCGAACACAATTCCCACATTTCCCTATCAAAGCCTATTAAACAAAAAATACCAGAATATATCCCTCCACATATGCAATGGCTGCAGCAGTTATTTCGCTCAATGGACAAAGTTGACTTACAAATGTGATATACCTTCAACACATGCAATTAAAACAACTCTTGGTCCATATATAATTTATTTTATCATTTTTTATCATTATCTGGATATATCCAATTAGATTACCTATGGTTATGGAAATGGTTTGGTTTTACAGATCCGGCGTCTCTGGTGTGAAGTGATTCATCTTTCTGTTTCATGTGTGTACCAGCTGAACCCCAGCACTAGTTTGCCTTTTACATGTATGTAACGTGGCAATGAGAAGTCAGTGTAATCAGAAGATTTCAGCTAGACAGCCCTGGACGGAAGAAAGAAGTGACGTTGCATATCCATATCACAGGAGTCTGAAGAAAGTGAGATAATATATTCTGACAATTTCAAGAACAATACACCTCAGCTAGCTAGCTGAGTAAAAAAGGAAAAAGGAAAAAAAAACAAAAAAACCGGGTGAAACTCAATCAAGGCCCCAACACAGAGGTTGGACTACATGATGACTTATGAACAATTAAACAAGCTCAGAACCGAAAACACATAGATGAAGTTTACAATCTTTCAATATTCTAATATATGATTCTGAAAATTGGAAGAAAAGCTTGATAAAGGTAAAAGCAATCCCTAAGCAAACAATTTGATGATGGACATTTATACTCTTTGAACATGTTACTCTGTAAATCACTTGCTTGATAATGGTGCAAGAACCTACACCGAAACGTCGCTACTTATCGTTGTAAACAACTTTTTCATTAACATCGATCCACGCAATTGGGGTCGATGACATGCATCACCAAAGTCAGCGAGCCTGACCACGCGATCCCGTTAGTCGCCTTTAAGGACAAGCATAGTCGCCTTTACGGCAAGCATGGGTTGCTGATCATGAAGAGCTATTCTACCCCGGATCCTCACGGGTCTATGTGTTCATGGTACCAGATTGCGCTCAGATGTGTCTCGTTATTCAGTATGAATTGACAACCTTTTTTCAACAAATCCTTTGATCAGTAATCTAAGCAGATGTGTTAAACAGATAAACTATATATTGTTATTTCCGACGATGTTCTTAAGCTTGAGATAATTCTAAATAAATGTGATGATGATTGTGATTTGAAATCGAATCGAATATTAATTGAACCTAAAGAACGGAAGGAAATGTTGCTGAGACACATTTGTATATTTATTACCTCAAGGTAAGACAAGACACATTTATTCCACAACCAACAAAATATATGTATGAAGTGGTGTTGAAAGGGCATGTAATTAAGGATTGACTGTTTATTTTTTCGGTTCATTGAGGTGTGAATCGAAAAACCGATGTGCAAACTGTATGAATCCGCATAGCGGATTCTTACAAAAGTTTGCACATCCATTTTTCGATTCATACCTCAGTGAACCGAACAAAATACACAGTCAATGCTTATAATTGAATTCGACAACGTAAAACATGTTTTATCTACAATAGTGTAACCAAAAACAGCTGTATATATCAAAACAGACAAAAATTACGAGATAAATAAACATTCAAGGTGTAGGAATACATACTGTGGCGTGACATCCTTTAATGTATGCACAAAACTTGACACGTCAGTAGCCAATCAACGGAGAGTAGGATCAAAACAATGTTCACAGGACCTGTCAATTAAGGTATGAGGCGAGAAGAACTGCAACAGTCAGACTGTAACGAACCGCAAGAAATATGACTTGGAGAAGGCGGCAGTTACCACCAGATTCAAACATAAGTTCCCTGAAAACGGGAACACAGTTGGAAAAATGCTAGTTAGAAATGAAACCCGAAGACATGAAAGTTGTGGAAACGAGGCGAGCGGGAAAACAACAGGCGAGCGAGCCTGCACGTTTGCTGTTTCATTCCTTCTCGGCCTTGGGTTTCAAAGGGTAGTTTGGACAATGAATATGCATGAATGTCGCTAAACGTCCTGTGCATGACGATACACGTGAGCAGAAAGGAAATCCCCTCGACTGTAATACTGGGATTCCCCGACATTCCGAAGTAATAAAAGTAGTGCCCCTCGGTGAGCGTGTCTTCATGTTTTACATTCATTGGGAAGTGAATGCAATAACATGTGACCAGTTCAGCTAATCAGAATGCAGGAATTTCAATGAACACAACGGAAATGTTATTATGTGACGTTGCAATGTGTTGCTTCTATTATCGATTGAAAACATGCAGAATGCTTTCCTTCAAGTTGTTCGACACGTCTCCGTCCTCCGTAATACCATATCGCTGTCTGCATCTTCGCCATTCAGGGCTTGGTGTTATGGCTGTCTTCACACGCTAAAATGATTAACAACTTATTTCAAACTATTTCCACATTATCATTATTGCCACTATGTTGTATCGACAGGGACATGCCTATAATTTAATCTGTAGTTTTGCGAGCGGCCTTGCAGCGAGTAAGTGGTGGGAAAAGGTTATGCAATACTATATAAAATATGAAGGGCCGAAATGTTTTGAAAATAATAAACCAGGTTATTATAATTTAGATTTCGAGAATGAGCCAGCGGGTCTTCTGTCACAGTGTGTATCAGCTGCACCAATTTTACAAAATGTATTTTATGCATAATACAAACCTGAGCGAAGGAGCCTCTCTGCATCAGAACATGTATCACGATGGTAACAGGGATAGGAACTACTGACACTACAGCAATACACCAACCAATGGTGACTGCGATTGATGGGTACTCATAGCTCCCGTATGCTGGTGGCTTGTAGCTTGCGATGGTTAGAATCATAGCTGTCTGTGTAAAAGAAAGAGAGAACGAGTTTACTCTTTAAAATAATCCCAGTTTAAGATACAAAGTGGCACAGCCGCGCTGGGGCATAAAAATACACTGGGCTAATATATGCTAACCGAAATATATAATATATAAGTTGGTTCGACATTGGGTTAACTAAACATACTCCCGGAAATGATAAATGTAGAACAATGTTTATTCGAATTATAAACACTCAGAGGTACATGTATGTTTAGCTAACATAAATGTATCAGGGTTATCAAAAGTTTCCTAAACTATCTGGTAATTATTAGATGATGTTTCACATGCAAAATGAAATACATCATAACACACCGTACAAATGTTTTTAATTAACCATTGTGCGATGGCCAGACACGAACAATGCTGATGTGAAAAGTGCAGCTTACGTTGATGCATAAATATAAGCGACAAAGTCCTGTCCGTAATCATAACAGATCTTTGCTAAAAGTATAGAATATTGTACTAAACTGACTATATAATACCCGTGTGAATCCACAAAATAGTAACTGATGCTTGTTTTGTAAGAAGTATGTGTGGTCAGCAATAACCACCGTGTCTTTGCTGACCGTCCAAAATAACGCCCGTGATATTGTGCTGACGTTACTGAAATTCGGACCTAAGTTTTATGAGTTACAGTTATCAATCTCATTTCAATCAATGCGTTATTGTCCTACCAACCATTCTCCAATGACACAAAATTGGAAACAAGGCATTTACACATAAATAACTTGAGAAATTGTTATGTCTTTTCATATTCGTCATTGCATGACTTACGAGCAACATACACATTTCATACTCTTTGTGATACGCCTGAATCACTACAAGAGTATTAATTCATTGGATAACAGTATTACACCCTACCAGCAGCAAGGCAGGTACAATGATGAAGCACATCAGCTTATAGACAACCGGAAGCCGCTTTCCAATCATAGCTTCCACGTCAACAGAGAAACGTTTCACACCTGGTAAACATGAATGAAACAAGTACAGAACACATGTTGGACGAATCTAATAGAAGTCTAAATGTGCGTTCCGATACAACGGAATTGAAGCAAATACAATAGTGTATTGATCATTATCCATGTCATTCTAATCATCAGATTGTTACTTTAATAGAAAAATAACCCTCCATTATGTTGCATACATGAACCAAGAGAAGTGTGTATGTGACACTTCCTTAACGGAATACTTGACAAGTATATATACTCAAAGGCAAAAGTTACTTTAACTTACAAACCTTTATACGAATGTATTCATTTGAACCAATGAAAATGTTCCTTAAAGAAGAAACGTCGCTGTTATGGCCATTACTGTGACATCATCAACAACACAGCCACATCAGACACTGTTCCAGTCGTGGTCGATCACAAGTTACGATTCCTCGCCATGACATGGATTCGAACAACGCATCTTCAACACTGGCTCTAAACAGCAACACTCACCTTCCGGACACCTTACAGGACACGCGTCTCTAAAGACGTTGAGGTGAACCTTACGTGAATGATCTGTGGTGGAATTTCGGCTCAGGAAAGACACAGATGATAGTGATGAGTTTGTGATGAGTATTTGAAAGCTGCGAGATATCGTGATAACATTTTGTCAAACGGCCGTTTTACTGTTTTTCCAACAGAACAGCCTTACATCACAATAACGCCAAACCCCATGTTCTTTGAGTTGTACAACGCTATCTGACTCATAACAATATTAATGTGTTATCCTGACCTCAGGGACCATCTGATCTGTGACCAACTACAATGTCCTGGATGAAATGGAAGGATGTTAGCAAAATCTTCAAATTCTTCAACAATTTTGTAGGAGCTCCGGCTTATCCTTCTTCGATAATGGAAGACTATTCCTCAGGCCTTTCATCAACACTCAGAGGAGACATGACAGCACATGCACAGAATGGATACACTCGCTATTGCCTCGGAAACCCATCGTGTGACATAACTCATTTGAGATTACCAGAAAGGCTCTTCATATAGACTGCTGCCCGTTACCCTACCTTCAGACATTGTCATTTCCGTGAGATAAAATTCAACCCAACCAGTAAGCGCGTTTGATAGATTCTCCTACTCTGCATATCAAATTGCCTTTTCCTTTGAGTATACATAGACTATCAAAACAAATGCAAATCATAATAGAAATGACATATTCTGAAATGTGTCTTCTGATCATGACCTAATCAGGCATTCACAATTAGTTCGACAAGTCAGTGTTAATATACCCATAGTTAGAAACAAAGGAAAGATTTGTACACAAACCATACAACCATCCAACAACCAGACATTCCAATACGCCGACGACAAAGCAAATCACAGCACCCACATACCAGTCTAGTAACTGGAACATGTACATTCCGGCCTGAAATATGAAAGGGTAGTTGGTCGCAGATGGATGAACATTGCAAGGCATGTAGTTAGTTATCTTTATCAGATCATATTGACCAGACAATCTTGACGATTGGCTCTGTTTACGTGTTAACTTTGAATGAGTTGGACTGAAATGTTTTCAGATGTTGTTTACAAACACATTAGGTGGAAAAACATCCGAAATTATCAAACCAATGGAATAAGAGTATTCGTTTTCATAAAATGTCACATGAATCTTCCAACTATGCCAAATCATTAACTAATTGCATCAAATCCAATCCTGCATTTAGGCACAACATACACAACTATATCGTAATGTATTTGCTCACATTGTTGGTAAAGATAAGTCCACAAACGAAAACTGCACCCATAAGCAAAGCAGCTGTAACAGTTGGAAGATGTTTCTTGTGCAATCGTCTGGGCAGAATGTCCTTCACACATCCAGTTGCTGCCTCGATAGTTCCAAACTGTTCACATATAAGGTATTGGTTTACATTATATGAAGCCTTCATATACACCAACATCAACATGTCCCAGTCGTGTAAAGGCACAATAATTAGCTTTGCGTTTTTTTGCCCCTTATTCGTAACAAATCTGATGATTCGCTCAGATTAATATGATTCTCAGTGTGTCAGACTCGTTCACCGAAAAGGTCACTTTGGGCTTTCCGTGTCACAAGCAGTGTCATGACGGAAATACTCTTCAGAGTGGCCTTACATCCAACTAACTCTCACTCACAAGTTCTCACTTGTCTCTTACATTATAGTGGCTCCTTTGTGGTAACTTACTGACGGAGGATCAAAATTGCAAACACGCAATCAGTGAGTGATTGAGGTATAACTCAACGTCACTTCGACAGTATTTCAGCCATATAATGCCGAGAACGGTCACATCGATTCATATCTGAAAACAAAGGACAGTACGTCGGCAGCAAGATAAAAAGAGTAGATTAAAAACTAACTAAAAATGAAACATCACCATATACACCATTATTCAATTTCATACACTTAGAGGGGGCACGGGTGGCCCAGTCGTCTAAGGCGCCGCGATTCGCTGTGCAGAGTTGCGTCCCTTGGGCACGCCAGAAACCTATGATTGTGGGTTCGAATCCCGGTTCGCCCCGATTATGTTTCTAGGTTTGTCAGCACCATACCCGTGCTCGTGGGTTTCACCGAAGTGGTAAACGTCTAAGACCTGCATCCCTTCGGGCTTTCCTCCCACATTAAGCTGGTACGCCGCGATATAACTGGAATAATGTTAAAAGCGGCGTTAAACCCAACTCACTCACTCACTCATACACTTAGAATACGAGCAATAGACCACCAGGGACCAACACTAGTTCGCATGATTCAGCAACAGCCTAAACCAATGGTATACCATGGTGTCGAAGCCCATCATCAACACGACTAAGAAGAAGAGCACCGACCACAGCTGGGGGACAGGAAGAAGTGATACTGCCTCAGGGTAGACTACAAATCCAATGCCTGGACCTTTCGCCAAAAACAAAAAAGGACTAATGGTCATTATGAGAAACATATTTTAGACGAGACGCTGAAAATAGCAAAGCTGCAAAATATATATTATCTCATTGACAACATGAATTAAACTGATCCAAGTATTGTATTGTTCATGTGTTTCGTATCCTCCATGTCGACTCGTATGGCGTAAAAGTAATAAATGGTAGTATCTATCGCATACTGTTTTTATAACCTGTGACTCGTCATTTATGTTTGGTTCATTTGACCCAAAGTATTTGCCAAAGCAGTACGCAGGTATTTCGTCCCATTGTCAGTTTCTCCATTGCTGATGTAAACGTACAATGGTGTTTTTGATGATTTCAGGTAGATTATGATTCAGTGCTTCTTGAAATTGATTTCAAAGTGCCTCACGCCAAGCCACGCCACGCCACGCCACGCCACGCCACGCCATGACGAGCCGTCGGGAGTGAGTGAGTAAGTGTGTTTTTTACGCCGCTTTTAGCAATATTCCAGCAATATCACGGCGGGGGACACCAGAAATGGGCTTCACACATTGGAACCCGGGTCTTCGGCGTGACGAGCGAACGCTTTAACAATTTGGCTACCCGTCCGCCCACACACCGTCGGGGGACGATAATATCATCAATTAAGTCACCGTGTAATGAACTGATTAGAAGTATTTGCATTGATGTGTATTTGCACGATGACATCAACCAAGTCACCGACCTGATCCATTATGTCGCCTCTTCCAACCATCATAGGTTGCCGGAGGCTAATTCTAAAGTGAAAACCCGCGGTTTTGTTTATGAAGTGGAAAGAACATAGGTAATATATATGCAACTGAACATTTTTCTCTGACACCCATCTATACATAGTTACACAATTTATTAAAGACGTATATTTGATTTTTTCATATATTTTGGGTGTTTAGGTATGAAATAATCAAGCCAAACAATGTCGTTGTGCGAGTAGTTCAGTGTGTTTGGAGATGGACCACAAACACACAACTTTTCTGATTTCGAGTTCAAGGTAATTCTGTGTTTTCATTGCGTTTCAGTAAATCACTACATGCACAAAACGTTATGGCACATATCATCTGCATACGTGTATGTTTATGGTTTGAGAAACAGGCAGGTATTTAACTCACCTGATGTGATGACGTCAGCAACTGGTAGCTCAAGACTGTGAGCCAGGAAACCGACTGTCGCGAACACAATAAAACCGGCATACACGCTTGTCAACTCGCCTAATAAGGTCACTAGTAAAGCATCTCTGAAAGTGTGAAGAAATGTTATTTTCATATGTGTATTTGCTGGCATCCTATTTTTGCTGAATTATATGTATTTCTAATTGTTGTAGCAGTTGCAGCAGCAGCATCATATATCAACCTTCGTGTCGAACTTTGATCAAATTAGTCCATCCATTTGATTTTTATGCCTGTATAAGTGTATTTTCTATGTCATGTTGGTACATTCATCCCAATAATAAATTGTTTTCCTCCCGTAATTTGTACACAATATAGTGAGTGAGTTGGGTTTAACGCCGCTTTTAACAGTATTCCGGTTATATCACGGCGTGTCAGCTTTATGTTGGAGGAAAGCCCGAATTGATGCAGGTCTCAGACTTTTACCGCTTCGGTGAAACCAATGAGCACGGGTATGGTGCTGACAAACCTAGAAACATAATCGGAGCGAATCGGGATTCGAACCAACAATCATAGGTTTCTGGCGTGCCCAACGGACGCAACTCTGCACAGCGAATCGCGGCGCCTTAGACGACTGGGCCACCCGTGCCCCCGAACACAATATAGAAGAAACGGAATGGCAACACATCCACTGTGCTAAACATTGATACGTGGATCGTTTCAGTGCAGTGGTGTGGATTCATGCAACCCTCACCTGACAATATTGTTGTGGGGAGAGTTGTGGCTTGCTATGACAATCAGAGTTCCCCAAGCTGGTCCCGAAGAGAAGAAAACCTGAAGAATTGCTTCTAACCACACCTATGAATTAAAGCAAATCGTTGGAGCAATTAGGTGTGTTTTCGTACGTTATTTTCTGTAAGACCAATATTCATTGAATTTGCTGACCTGGGTAGTTTGAAGACGCATGAAATCTGGAGTTAGGTAAAACAAAATCCCATCCACAGCACCCGGCATCATGCACGATCTGACCAGCAGCACAGTCAACAAGACATATGGCATCATCGCAGTTACGTACACCACCTATGATAGAAACAGATCGAAATCATTATCGAATGATCTAACACAGGTCTGCTTTTAAATGTCAAGTAAACATGATACCACATAGCATGACCATAGAAATACACTTTAATTTTCGCTCGTTATTAATACGGTAACACAACAGCAAATGATGAAATGAGAATCTCTTAGAAACGCTCATAAAAAGAAACATGCAATGTAGAAAGATAACACCCATCATCAAACAACAATACCTTTCCAAGAGACTTGACACCTTTCATCACACACAGGAACATGCTCAGACAGGTAAGAAACCAGCAAATGACGAGATGCGGCTGCAGCGATCCCATGTCTTCTATGCCCGAGGAAATAACAAGGACTTTGTATCTTAAAAATATGACATGATGAATACATAATAAGTAACAACCTTGGACAGATAACATTATGTTAAACATAGAACTAATAAAGAACACTTACTGCCAAAACTCCTCCGTTGAAGTGTGACCAAATGCATCTGTAAATGTTTCAGATTGGTTTGAATCCATCCTTTCCGTGGTGTTGAGACTTAGCATAGCAATCTCTGCCGAACTATTAGTGGTACGTCTCGACTCTCCAGCAGCCACACAATGCGGTGTGTTCCATGAATTGCCACAAGTTGCCCAAGGCAGGTCGATGGAGAAGGAGCTGTACAGGTAGTAGAGGGCCCATGCAAATACCATGCTGTAGTACGGGATGGCCACACAGCTGACTATAAGTATACCATAGCCGATACCTTGCAAACGAAATGAATCACGTATCTTACCACCTCTTTGAATTTCCTTCTATGCACACAAAACATCAAATAAATCAGCATGGAGGTTGACCGAAATCTGTTGTTCCTTCTTTCCTGATGTTTGTATGGGGCATTCGCAGCCGGATGGACCCAAAGCTTAATACAAGTATTGGACGTAGTTCATATCCATTTGCATTCTTATTTCAAAGTTTAATAACATGTATGTTTCCGTGAAGGGCTTAATCGATTGGTATCAGTTTTCGATAGTTAAGCTTCATTTGGGAGAATTTATCAACTTATTCTGATATCAACATTATGCAGGATTATTCTCGACTGACAGCTGAGGAGAACTGTGTGACTTCATAACTACACTTGGATCTTGTCAATAATATAAGTCGGTGTAACCGTTATTATTTACCTTTCATTGGAGGACACATCGCCCACACCCCTATGGGTCCTTTGCGGGAAAACTGACCAAGAGCAACCTCCAGGAAGAACAGAGGTACAGCCACAACAATCGTGAAGATCATGTGAGGAATCAGAAACGCACCTGCAGTTGTAAAAGGGGTGAGTAGAGTGCTGTTTGTGTTGTGTTTGAATTTGCTTTGAGTTGCATTTCAGTTATAACAGGCGCGACAACTCGAGCTTGGTATTGTTATGTGGGTGTGCGGAAGCCCCAAGCGAAGGAGGAATTGAAACACTTTAGAAAGCCACAAACAGGTATCTGGAGCAGAATCCATTGAGCTTACCCCTGGATTCTACAGAACGATTATCGGGATCAGTACTCAATCAACCATAAAACCAATAGGAACATTCACATGTCTTGTGTGAGGGCACGTGTATAATTGTGTCATATAATCAAGTTTAAGAATTAGTCCTGAATGTTTATTATTCGTATTTAATATATTATTGTATCCTTCATTTGGAGAGAAATATTAATAAATTTCATGTCATATGTTTTACTGTAATATGAAACACCAATGGTTTTATAACATAACTATTCTCGTAGAGATGTGACTCATAATGGTATACCAAATACTTTCAATTTTGAATGTTACTTATTAATGTTGATGCATGTCATCGATCCCAATTGCGTGCATCGATGCTCATGTTACAAATCACTGGATTGTCTATTTACAGACCGCCGTCATATAGCTTGAATATTGCTGAGTGCGGCGTAAAACAACAAACTAAACCAAACCAAATACAAATATTGAAATAATGTCATTGGCGTAATCGTCTTAATTTAGCCATATGCCAAATGAAGTGGGTTGATGGCAATGTATCATACATAATAAAATAATATACTCTCAATGTGGTTTAAGATAACGACGACGAATATTATTTTTTGTTTGTATGTCCGATATTGGCTAAAACAAGACGTAGATTTCGTAACTCCTGTAAAACTGTCCTGTTCTGTTAGTGCATCGCACTTATAATTAATGTTTTTGTCGTACAAAAGAAATGCATTTATTTAACTTGAACGCACTTGAGTGAGTGAGTGAGTTAAAATTTAACGTCACATCGCCAATATTTCAGCCATATCGTGACGAGACCATTAATAATGATTAAATTTAGACGAATAAAAACCTGTCATCGACGGACAGTAAGAAAACTAGACTATCACAGTTTAGAAGTAAAACAATTAAAAGAATAACCTATCATTCAACAATACATTATTAAAACGGGCTATAGATCGCCACTTCTGCTACCTACATGGTATCCCAGCTGAACGCCCTGGAAAATATGCTCACTTTATTTTGTATTCAAGTCTATAACCAAGTAGCATAGCTGGGCAAAAAGTTGTCCTATTTCAATTATCTTAACAGACAATTATAGTTCAAGATACGGTGATATAATATTGTCCATATTGAGATCCATTTGAAGATGCTGAACATTTTATACACGAATATACATTATTTCAAATTCAGAACTAATGCTTACTTTAATCATGATTTTTCAATCGATATAAATGGAAAATCAAGCATTTTTTTATGTTAGTGCGCTTGTTATATTTATAAAAAAATACTAAGAAATGTGCGATTAAATAAGACAATGATGAATATATTTACACTGGATAAATATTTATATATTGGATCGAAATCTATGGCTTTTGACATGAAAATGATGGTAAATGATATTACAATAATATGATAAAATAATGCAATATAAAAGTATAAGAATTTTTTACATATCATGTTCTTTCATTATTAACTTCGAATTTCCCTCTCGCTACTACCATGGAGCTATAAACACTAAGAACTAATATTTTAAAAACACTGGTTCATTTCACCAGAGCCTGTCTATCTGTCCCGGATGGGCCTTGTCAGAACACGGTCTATTTGTAACTAATGAAAAATAAGACAATATAATTATTGGGAAGAACAGGAAAACTATTTATACAATATTGACACATGTGGACTATTCATGTTTTAATGGATGACAACATTAATTGTGTTCTTAAGTAGTTTATTAATTAATTGTACCGTAGGCAACAAAATAACGAGAATGAAATCAAACTTAAGCTAACTACTTCTCTACAATGTGAGTGAGTGAGTGAGTGAGTGAGTGAGAGTGAGTTGGGTTTAACGCCGTTTTTAACATTATTCCAGTGTGTCAGCTTAATGTGAGAGGAAAGCCCGAAATGATGCAGGTCTCAGACGTTTACCACTTCGGTGAAACCAACGAGCACGGGTATGGTGCTGACAAACCTAGAAACATAATCGGGGCGAACCGGAATTCGAACCCACAATCACAGGTTTCTGGCGTGCCCAAGGGAAGCAACTCTGCACAGTGAATTGTGGCGCCTTCGACGACCTGGCCACCCGTGCCCCTCTACAATGTGAGATTGTAGTTGTGTATGCATGTGCAAGAATGACGGACACACAAGCCGAGCAAAGCGCCCGTTCTTGCAAAATCAGTCAAACATAAAATATAATTATTTTTCGATGGACGATATTTTCGTCGTTCAAGCAAAGGGTACATAATAAATGTATTATACTTGCCGTGCTTCTGTCTGAAAGAACAACATTTCATTTTTCTATAAGAAGGCATGTATGTGTTTGCATTCTTAACACAATTTTACAGTGTGGTTTAAGTAGTGAATTATACTATTTTAATAAGTGATATTTACTAAACTTCAGCATCCGCGTGCACTCTACCAGGAAAGATAGCAAATTCGCTGTTTACTAACCTTCTGGCCGCTGTCAGAAGAATTCACGAGGTTTTTGCTCAGTGTTTGGTATTCATTGTTACCACATGTGATCTATATATCTATTGTGAAATGATTACCTGAAACGTCGCCATATAGTGAAGTGATCATCCTACTTCATAGGACAAACATGTAAACAGTAACTTGACAGCCAAATGCGATAAATTCGCGAGTCATTTTTTTCTGAACATACTGAGGTCAGTAAGTCCACAACAAGGCAATTCCTTCGATCACTTATCTCACAATGCCTTGAAGGTTATACATATTATAATTTCCTGATTTCCATGTGTTGATGTTAGTCTATATGCGGTAGAGTGGCCATTGTTGCCATCTGACCACAAATCCCTGCATTTATCAGGAAAATAATTAATTTAGTATTTTTGCCTTGTCTTTTAACATTTCATCTGACTTAACGGTGATTTGGGTATGGAATGGCTATCTTTCAATACTAATAACGCAAATGAAGAATATGGGCTCAGTAAACTTACAGAAGTGAACGAAATTGATTTATTGAACGATATTGACTTTGATGTCTTGTTTTCGGAAATGACAGGAATCTAGCACCAATGAAAACAATGTCGTACCCTGCTCAGATGTTGCCGCTGACACAGATAAAAGCGACTTGCTCCTGATCTATCCCTAAAACCCGATTCACTATCGCATCGGGAAAAAATCTAAGATTTTGAGAAACCATAAACATAAAAAGGTAAGGAAAGAAACTAAAATTTAAAAACAAAAAAAACAAACTTTCTTTTAAAACAAACTTGTTTTACCGATTACCGATATGGGTGTTTTCCTTAACTGCTCCATAAACTTCATTTTAACAGCAATAAGTATAAATTTCATCCTCATGCTCCCGTTCGACTCGAAATGCACCTCTTTATAAACTTATGTGACGTCATATATAAATCCGTGCTTGAAGGTTGACCTCGCCCGTTGCATCGAGGTCATGTTTATATTTTTGTTCATTTTCCTGTAACCTATTTCATATTGTATTTGATTTCTCCCAAATATTTGTTCAGCGAATGAAATTATGTTGCCATATTTCTAGATTATGTGTATATATTCAAAGATTTTTTTTCTTACACACCTGCGGGTGAGAAACCCATTTGAGATAACTGACGGAGATGACGGACTATTTTTCTGATTGTAAGTCATTGATAAGTTCCTCGTGCTTCAGTCGAATATTCACCTACGCCTTGTTGAACCACAGGACCGTGTAATAATAATAATAATAATAATAACAATTTGCGAGTTTGTTTTTATTATCAGTTACATTATCTGCTGTTATGTCAACGTTAGCATTTGTTAGAGTGTAATGCACTCCCTGGATGCCACAGCGACACATATGTCCCTCCTCTTAAACCCTCACTTCGAAGTCGAAAAAAATTCAAAATACATCACGCAAACTAATACACTTCGCAGTTTTGAATTCACTCTTCTGTTTATCATTTGCTGTCATTTTAGGCAATGCAAAATTACTGAAAGTGACTTCTGAAAATTAGGAAAATCGTAAATCTAGCCAAATCACAATTCACGGCGTTATTTACTGTGTGTTTAGAAATCTAAATATTGGATATTTACTCGAATAATTAAAGTAGAAAAATATCACGGGTATCACGGGTATCAAATCAAATCACTAATGATAATTCTGAAACGTGGCTGATATGCCTAGAATCGTTTAGAATGTTTTGGAAAATACGCATTCAGGAACGCCGAAGTGTACGTTCGGCCATATTGGATTGTGTTTACAAAATGACGGTTATGAGACGCCTATTCGATCAGGTATATTTCAAACTCAGATGCTATACATGCATCCCTGAATTCCTCATATATTTTAGAAACAAATGACAAATTTGTCACCAATGCAAATTATCTAGATGAAATCATGCGAAATAAATTAGGTGTGGAAACGAACACTGTGCTCGTAAAACTGTACTTGCTGAAATGTAAACAAAGCAAAATATTCAGATTTTACACTGTGTTGCATGTTTAGAGGTACTTTCGTCTAATTGTTGCATACATTGGCTCGATCACGCGTTTGAGAATTTTCATGGAAAGAGTATCGTTGCACTAGAAATGGAATTCCAAATATAAACATAACAATGATGTGGTAAATTCAATAGAAACCGTACAAGTGTGATGCCATGACTGACGCTAAATCACGCACAACGACGACGGTAGTTATCTGCATTTCTGACAAATTCACTTTGTTACATTGGAAAAATGGTAAACAAATAACAGTACGCAGATTGTCAGAATGTTTCCGATTCCTTACGTGACCCATTTATGTATGTACGATCCCTCAATCAACGATTATCCTCCTCTGGAAATCCCGCGTATACTGTTGTCAGTGTACACGCCATTTTGCAAAAGTCGGTCACCGGTAGTGATGTCATACGGAAGTAAACATTGTTGTACATATTTGGTTATTTCTTTGAGGTGTAAACTTTTAACTCGGCATCCGGCGTGTTCTTTGTTTTTATCTAGTTTGCATTTTCATCATCGCCTTGATAATCCACAGACATGGCGGAAACCTTTTTTGTGTAGGGTCATATTATTTATGAGTAGTAAGCAGTACATTGAACGACGTCACTTATGACAAAGGTGTTATGTATTAATGCGCCACTGCGATCATGAGAATATACAAAATGCATCGATCCGATGCTAAAAAGGTGCGATTTTAGGGTGTGTATGAAACAGATTACTGTACTCGTGCCTGTCAGATTCAATTGATCTTACAACTCGTTGTTACGAAGCGTATCTAACTCGCTTTCGCTCGTTAGATACGTTTTGAAACAACTCGATGTAAGATCAATGGTATCTGATAGACACTCGTGTAGTAATCTCTCTCTATATATATTATATAATAATTGAATAAGTGGAGTAAGAGTCTCGTCAGGCCATAACAGAATAACGGCCAGACCGATTATTTACAGACGCCGCCATATAGCTTGAATACTAAGTATTCATGAGTAAGGCGTTACATAACAAAGAAAACAAACAAACAATTATAATGCAAACATATAAGTCAGGGGATAAAATCAATATGTACGTGTACACTGCATTGCTATAAATTATTGCTATGTTACAGGTTTTTTAAATATGATTTGTATAATCGTCATATGCCACATGTCTCTGGCCCAAAATTCCAAGCACGTTTTATGTACGTATGTGTGCCCTACTTCTCTGCAGAGACCAGTATATGACTGAAACACACAGCCAACACACTATTATAAATTCTATACCATGATATGAAAGAATGTTTTATTCTGATCGGGTAAAACAGAGGTTTTTAAAAAGGCTAAAACGCTCGGTTCCAAATTAAAATAAGAAGTATCTCCTCGTCAGTGGGACTACATCAAATTTCAAAACACAGTTGGTCTATCTCCTAAATACACTGAGAAACACAATTGAAAACTTACTTATAAGCATGGGGACGTATGAGGCGACCAACGGGATCGGGTGGTCAGGCTCGCTGCTTTGGTTGATGCATGTCATCGTATCCCAATTGCGCGATGCTTATTCTACCATGAATTTGAAATTTACTCGATTCTGATTGGTCAATCAGAGGCTATTAAATCACAATTAACCCCCTCTGATTGAAACAGCTGGTTTGACGGCCGCATCACCGCGGAAGCTAATATTCCTAGAATAGTACTATTTTCAGTAATTATCTCGGTAGGCATATTTAAATAATTATATCTACAATAACAGGTTACAAAATGCACAGATGCGGTTACTACAATATTCAAAGGATGAGTGGCAATACATTTCGTGCAAAAAGCACGATTCAAATCAACAAAGGGAATGTATTTACGTTTTGAAGACAACAGAGAACTTGGCATTTTGGCCCTTTTCTATGTACGAATGTGACGTCATATCTTTTGGGTCAAAATGATCGATATGACGTCATAATGGTGACGCGCAATGTAGTGCGAAAGCCTTGCACAGCTGGCTTTGTTTTCTTTAGGGATAACCACCTCATGTTAGCTTACCAAGTTGCCGTGCTTGTATGCCTTCAATGCCTGTCATATGTTCGAGTGAAGTATAACGGTGTATACAAACTGCCTGAGTATATACATATTTTGTTCGTCGATTCCGTAATTCAGACCGATAACCCACTCAAAACACTTACTCAACCCATGCCGCTTCACTCAGTATATTTGCTAGCACCAAAGAGTTCGCGTTTTATTTAGTCATGGTAGAATGGAGATAAACATACTGTGTTTTCAATGTAGGGCTACGTTACCTGTAGATTTAACCGCGCTAAATTTAACATTTGAAACCTCACGCTGCGCGTTCGGTTCCAAATTCAATTTAGCGGGGTTAAATCTACAGGTAACCTAGCTCTACATGAAAAACACAGTATGTTTATCTCCTAATTGATGCCGCATTCATTCGGCTTGTATTTCTCTAGATATTTCAAACGTATGGGTGCCACTTTTACCTTATATGTGCCAAACCTGCGTCAAACGTGGGAAATTGTAACAATATCCTATACATTTCTGTATATTTAAGGGAAATGTGTCATTTCGAACGTCTAAAATAAAGTTTGAAATAATAAAATGTCCAAATTATTCCAAATGCTATACACACACTGATAAATTTCATTAATCTAGTGAAAGCCCATTTCTGGTGTTCCCCGTGATGATATTGCTGGAATATTACTAAAACCAGCGTAAAGCCATACTCACGCACTCATTAATCTGGTTTAGTGTCGTCACGCCCTGGCAAATATGACAAAACACTCCTGCATAATGGACGGGTATAAACATTGATGTAAATGTGTGCATTTCTTCTTCATTTCCAAACTAGCTAGGCATATTTGTAAATATTACCAAATGATTTGGATACATGGAAATGTATGAATTTCTATTACGTCTTAACCCATTTGGCAGATACCTTAAAATCACAAATGTCACGGTTGAGTTCTCCCTCTATCCATTCCTTGCTTCTCAGGTTCAACACCAATTTTTGCAGACAATTATATAAGATGTTTTTGTAAATCAATTTGCACAAATGTTACGATATTAAAAGGTTCCTAGCATGAAATGCAAACCACCTTCCATAACGCAATTCAGGTAAGTTCAAGAAAATTTACAAATTTTGTGTTCGCTTTGGTCTTAACCTTGGTATGATTGAAAACATCGGGATATTTTTATATAGTATTGTGTAGTTTTCTATCAGGAATAAATGTGCAAAATATTTCTTCAATTGGCCCTTGTTTAATGAGGCACCGACTGTTTGAAATCACCTACCCTCTTTACAGCGCCTTATGCTAAAATTAATCCAGCAGGCAGGGGTAAGCAGTGTGAAAATAAGGAATATGGAATAAGGAATAAATTTTAGATCTTAAATCAGAGTATAACGGACAGCCTGAGCTGGAGGCGCGCGTGGATATGTTGACAGTTTTAACGTTGTTAGTGTTAAAACAGAATGTTTGCGTGTATTAATAAGATTTCTGAATTCAGTTACAACAGTAACCGTACATGTATTTGTTACATTAAGTCATTTCATTCAAATTTGTTTGGTATGATTATGTCTTATAATTATTTAAGGATGGAAGGCACAGTTACCAAATGAAATATGCTGAAATATCAATTCATTATGACCATATTTCATAATCTATTTTTTAAAGTAACCCTCCTTACATTAAAGATAACTATTTAAAGAATATAGTACTTAAAGACATTGCAACAAACCGAATAATCAGGGGGGAGACTTTATTCTGAGGGAGGCGCGAAATATGTCCGCCCGGGGGAGATTTTATTTCAGAACAGATTCTCCGGGGGAGAATCTGTACCGGTATAAAATCTCCGGGGGGAGAGTTTATACCGGGACACCGGCCGTTTCATATCGCACAATAAATAAATTGTCCCCCAAAATCATTACAATAAAAAATAAATAGAAAAATATCTGGTCACAATAAAAAATCCTAGCCCCCCGGAATACCAAATGGTTAGTTCCTGGTCCCTCGTCCCAATATTACCTGCTTGCATCATTCCACACTGTCCCTAGCGTTTATATGCTTTAACGATTCTGAGCTTCCATTTTTTTGCAATAAAAGTAATTCTTTTCGCGAAATGGCAATGGCAATAGTTGAATAAGTGTCAAAGGACGTGTTCAAGACGGACCTCGAACAATTTTAACACAATTGAACATTTTGTGTGAATTAACCAAACAGCTTGAAACAAATAGTTATGGTTAGCAAGAATTATGCAAATTAAATACACTGATATCCGTGTCAATATCCGTACAACTAGGTATACGACAGAGAAACGTAAATATCACCGTGTATTCCAGCTAAATGGAACTAGCTATCATTTCAGTCTAATCATAAAACATTTGGTAGAATTCGCGCTTATGGCCCCCTTTCCCTACGACCACGAATATCCCGAATCACCCCGAATCGGAAACTTTCGAAATTCGTGATGATTCGGCCAATAATGCAAACTTTTGTGGAGAATCGGTAGGAGGTACGAAGCAGTTACGACAAACGAACGACGGAGTTACGAAAACTCGTGGCTGATCGGGTTGAAAAATATGAAGAATGCCAGGAATGGATTAAGAATCATGCACGAATTACAAGATTCATGTACGGATCATGCACGAATTGTAAGAATCACCTACGACTAAGTTACGAATATGCCGAATGCATGTACGAATGCAGGACGATCGCAACGAATAAGATACGACTAATACGACATATTTACGAATAGTTTGTGAAAATCGGTATTTTTCCTTTCACTTCGGCTTGTTATTGGGTCCCGAAAGGCTGGCCAACCCATCATGTCCACAATGGAGACTCAACGGAGAGCTCGTGTTGCTCTGGCCCTGGTCCTTGGGGAATCGTGTTGTTCTTACTTCATTCTTACATGATTCGTAGTTGACTCGGGACATTCGTGGCTGTTTCGGGCTGTTTTCGGGTTGAGGACAAGAGATTTTTGGAGCCACGAATCGCTAAGAATAGCCTAGATTGCAAAAGAATCTATTACGAAGCTGTTACGGACCTTAAGAATCCATTACGATTGGATTACGATACAGCCACGAAATTGTAATTCGGGGACCCTTCCACGAAAGCTTTTGACAAACAAAAACTTTCACTCCGATTCGACGAACTCCCGCCAACTGTACGAATGTTTGGGAATCTAATAATATTCATTTAAGAATTTGATTGAGATTCATCTACGAACATGAAAAATTTCCTATTCGGGGTGATTCGGGATATTCGTGGTCGTATTGAAATGGGGGCATTAGATATAATGTGCAAGACCGTACCTCCTCCGTTTCTTTGACAGACGTAGGGAAATCGCCACAAGTTACCCAGACCGACAGAATATCCAAGCAGGGCAACGACGCCCTGAAGTTTGTTGGACCATTGTGTTTTCTCCGTTTGTTCTTCATCACATCTTACATAGAGCTCCTCCTGAAGAGCAACGTTTTCGGTCTGCTCCTGACTCATCCTCAGCAGGGCGTGCAGATATCCTGATAATGAAAGTGAAAAAAACTCAAATATTGTATAAGGGAATGTTTCTTGTTATATACGTACGGGGACGTGGGGTGAACCTGGTGATATTTATTCAAGCGCATTGGGTCATGTGGCCACCAGAAAATGTGGAGGCAAAATCCCTATGCACGAAATGATACTTCAGAACTGTAAATGTGATATGCTGCAGTTACTGATCATTTCATGCCCGGACATTTCATGTGGAACCAGTGGTAGCAACCGACGGAATTAAATACATGTATATTAAATACGCGCATCAAATACTATGTTACCCGCCAACATGATTTGTATGTTAGTTTGTTCTTTAACGCCGCAATATTCCAGCTATATGACAGCCGTCTTAGATAACAGAATCTGGACCAGACTATTTAGAGGTTGACATCATGATCTACGCAACTTGGATAACATGACATGCATCGAACCAATCCAGCGAGTCCACACCACCCGATCCCGTTAGTCGCCTCTTACGACAGGAATGAATGGGTTGCTGAAGTCCCAACACTTATCCGTGATGCAAAGGCAGGAAATAAGATTCACCAAGTTACACATACCGTCAGTGATGAAACCAAGTGATGTCAAACTGACAATATGGTCTACCGAAACAGAAGCGACAGTCGTATCGGGTTAAGCTACGTCTACATTGAGTTAAAAGAAACGCAAGAGAATGAAGTAATAAAGTTAACAATTAAACTTACTAGTCAGTTACAGCTGGCTCCCCTCGACGTTCTGACAATTTGGAAAAGTGCTTGATGGTTCGTGTACCTAAATATATGCTTGGTTGCTTGAAATGAAGGATATATGTGAATTATCAGTAGTATCTGTAATTTCTATGAATTATGTATCATGTCTACTTTGGATGCTCTTGGAATATTCGCATGCATATGGCGGCAGCTGCAGTCATAATAACTGACGAGCCCAGCAGCAGTATTATATTAATATTTTTGACATATACGATGAATGCATATTGTAACTAAGACCATTTGTGAAGGGATGGTGTAATTTTTGCGGGGGAAACGTGCTGGTAGCAGAAGTGTATAAGTCCCCACGGTCCCTAGTATGGTGGCCTAACTCTGGTTGCTGGCGAGTTATAGCCCGTTTGTATATTGTGTTTTTGAAATGTTCGTTTATTTTTTTACATGCATTCAACCTTGTTTTAGATACAATCTGTGATCATCTAGATATTTAAGGTCAAAACATATTTGTTGTCAATCTTAACTTTATCTCGTCACGATATAATTAAAAAATTGCCGATGTGACGTCGAATCTTAACCCACTCACGCAGTCATTAATTAGAAATAATAATCAAACGTTTACGTAAAATAATATGTTGGGATAATAATGACAGTATTATCATAATTAAAATTATATTACTTATCCCCAACCGAAGTAGTCCTCTACACTAATAATGGAGAAGTCTATGATCATATCAACTTCTTATTCATATAAACATTATTATCAACATATCATTATCAATATTGCGCGAGCAATTCACTGGCAGGAAACAGTGAGCACATCAGGTACATCACAATAATTTCTTCTTGGGACACAATACACAATCACAAAAGGGGCATTTGTCACTATTGCCAGTAGAGAGAAGATTCACCTTTAGTCACAAAGGCAAGCATCGTTCAATTTAATGCATGTATATGTTACTCTTTCATGCTTTATATCCTGCGAGATGAGGATAAAGTTCCCTGCTTTTGATTTCATAGAAGTTAGATGGACGGTTGAAGTTAAGTTTTTGAAGATTACAAATGATAGCTTTCAAGCGTTCAAACTCTGGGACGGTCCTCTACGTCACCGGTCTGAGCATGTTTCTCGACTAAACGGCTTACGACAGTGTAATGATACCCCAAATTCCGACCAATGGCACAACAAGACATTCCTGCGTTATGCATGCCGATTATTTGCCATCTTGTGGCGTTTGATAATCGCCTTGGCGCCATGATCACACAATGTCATGGAATAACTGTTTAAAGCCGAGCTTAAGAAAGCAATTTTAACGTTTGGATATACTGCTTTTAGAGATACTTGAGGGTAGCATGCTGCACGGGGATACAGTGCATGGCAAGCATCACTGATAATATCATCTCGAGAAAACATAATATTTCCCGTAATTATATCTTTCATGAGTGTTACAAATATTAGGGCCAAGCACTAATGAAATATGCTTAACTTTTTCTCTGTGTATAAAACAAATACTTCCCATACTACCGTGGACTTCAATGTAATAGAATTGGAGATACGCCAACAATTGCAGCACACAGACATCTGTGACAGGCCTTTTCCTCTGATCGATAATTATTAAACATCCGTGCCTTTGTTAAAAATTGAATACAAATAACGTTCAGAATAAAGACAAATGAATTTTGAATGTTAATTCAATGTCCTCTTTACATATGATTTCATGTTTGGTTTAATTCTGAAAATATATTTTTAGACATATACCAAATGAAAATCTACCATGTATAAAAAAAAATCATTCAGTTACTCAGCTGCAACATACACACGTGTTATCATAGTTTGAGACCCGTGAAGATCCGGGATAGAATAGGTCTTCAGCAACCCATGCTTGCCGTAAAAGGCGACTATGCGTGTCGTAAAAGGCGACAACGGGATCGGGTGGTCAGGCTCGCTGAATTGGTTGATGCATGTCATCGATCCCAATTGCGTGGATCGATGCTCATGATGTCAATCACTGGATTGTCTGGTCCAGACTCGATTATTTACAGACCGCTGTCATATAGCTGGAATATTGCTGAGTGCGGCGTTAAACAACAAACAAAACAAACATCATAGTTTGAAAAAAAGATTTATCACCTCTCTCAGTTATATTACATGTATATAGCCTTATCGGCGATTATATGATATAGATATGGGTACGTATACAATGACAGGTTTTTTTTAAAGTATGATATTCACACAAGGACAGTACTTTGAGTACCGATTGCAAAACGTCCACAAAGTGCCCTGGAATGAAGGATTAGCGGATCTCACCGCCTCGCTACAAACGATTGTCAAGCGTCTTCATATTAAAACATGAGCAGTCGTGGTCATCTCTGTAGTATCATTGAATGCGGAACATATATCTAAGATAATCGTTCTTTAGGTGACGACATATACTGTTCATATAGATATGCCAGCGTGACCGTTGGTGACAGAGGTGGAGGCTGTACTGGTTATCTGTCTATAGGTGAGATAGTAACATGTCCTTCTTGTTTCGCGCAACCGCATGCACTGTCAGTTTAAGGTTGGAACGTCTGCATCAGCGCGGGCTAGTGAAGGGTGGATCAACTGAAAAAGATCGCCCATTAATTATGAGTATAGACTAGCTAATTACGTTATGATATTCATGCTAGCTACTTTTTCATAGTTTCCACAGAATATATAATTAAGGTTCAACTAATTGACATAAAATGAATAATTTTTGCTGTTTATATATCAAAGTTTGCTTAATTGTTATACGATGTTTAAAACCACAGAAAGGCTGCTCGGTCTCAACATGACAGATGAGACCCGTCCTCTTGCTCAGTTCACAGTTACAATATGTTTCATTGTGAGGACACTCTTGGCACGGATGGTTGGATTTGGTTTGGTTTGGTTTGTTGTTTAACGCGGCACTCAGCAATATACCAACTACATGACGGCGGTCTGTAAATAATCGAGTCTGGACTAGACAATCCAGTGATTGATATCATGAGCATCGATCCACGCAATTGGGATCGATGACACGCATCAACCAAGTCAGCGAGCCTGACCACCCGATCCCGTTAGTCGCCTTTTACGACAAGCATAGTCACCTTTCACGGCAAGCATGGGTTGCTGAAGACCTATTCTACCCCGGAATCTTCACGGGATGGTTGGAGAACTGCAGGGTCCTAGGGGACAGTTTAGTTGATGATAGTAACAAATAAGAGATATATTTTTACAAGCGATTATGATTATGATGTCATTCGAAAAAAACAATATTGCCGTTGCATCTTGCAGGAGAAAAGTTTTTGATTTCATATATTTTGTTTTAGTAATATTGAAAATTTCTATGTAAATAAATGCTATTAAATCAACTTAATCATTATTGACTGGCACATCAGCAAACACACAGCAAAATATATGTTGAGCCTGGCTGCAAAGCACTGCCTCTAACCATACATATTTCTCCCAACTTCGAAACAGAAGTGAGTTAGTGAGTTAACATTTAACGTCACATCGGCATTAATTCTGCCAAATAGCGACGAGAACAAGTTCATATGTTCAAGATTGAGTCATGAATGCGAAGTAATGTTCAAAAAACATATTTTGTTAAACATATTTTGGGCATAACAATAATATTAATGCAGTGGCTTAATTAGACCACCAGTAAGTAAAGCTAGGCCACCTTGCTAGGGATCATTTCGACTTACGGTGCCTCTGCTTCCGGCACGATACCCCAGCAGGATTTACGTCATCACTTAAGCTACTGGTGGTTGTGTTCAATACAAGCCAATATTAAAAATACTCAGCAATGAGATGGCTCAAAACACTGGTTGATGATAGTTACATCGATTATGATAGGAATTACGTGTCACACAGGGGGACAATTATTTGATGGCACTTTAACCTCCTGCACAGAGTCTTCATTAATCTAACTTGATAAGATCATCAATTTAAATACAAGTGATTTATTATTCACATATATATTTAAAATTATTCATAAAGACCAATTTCTTTCAAGTTACTAAAAATGTGTTGCCTGCTTACACGGGAAAAGAGATCTTTCAGACATACGCTTTGATAATGTGAATCACTTGCAACTGCAAAGGCCACACAGTCAAGCAACATATGCTTGACGGTGAACCATTCACCAAAGGGATACACTTAGGAGGTTCGTCCTCATCTGTTTTAAGCAGGTATTCGTCAGGCAGTCGTCAAAGGCGCCGCGATTCGCTGTGCAGAGTTGCGTCCCTTGGGCATGCCAGAAACCTTTGGT